TCTAGAGAGTCTGCCGTCCTGTGCAAGTCTTATCTGGAGGGTATTGTTCTCATGAAGCTTAATCATCAGAAGTAATAACCTTCTGTTAATACCCATATTGGCCAATTTGGCCCAGAGCCTGCTCCTAGATACAGAATCAAATGCTGCCTTTAGGTCCACAAAGGCCGCATATAATGACTTTTCCAATATTTCGCATACTTATAGACAAAGTAATCTAACACTAAGCAGTGATCAATGGTGGAACGTCCGGATGTAAACCCTGCTTGTTCAATTTCTAGCAAGTTGTTATGATCTAACCATTCCCATAATTTTAGGCATAGATGTTTTGTATAAAGTTTACAGATCACATTCAGGAGACTAATTGGTCTATAATTAGATGGATCAGAGGGGTTGCCCTTTTTAAATATGGGAACAATTATAGCTAGTCCCCAATCTTTAGGGATTTCAGTTGTCTTGTCTATATATGAAAATAGATTTGCAAGGACCGGGGCCCACCAGTTTATTTGCGCTTTCAAAAGTTCAGCGACAATGAAATCACTTCCTGGGGCTTTGCCAGATTTCATTTGTAGAATTAGCGAAGCGATTTCAGTTTCAGATGTTGGGGGCCATGGTGTATCATTATCTAAGGGGATGTTAAGCGGCGCAGAAGGACAATGTTCCCTAAACAGCACTTTATAGTGCTCTTCCCATGAATTTGCAGGGATTATTGTGCCCTCATTAGGAGCTTTGGTTTGACTGGAGATGATTTTCCAGAAGTTAGAATTGTCTTTTTCTATTGACGCTTTTATGAGGGCCTGCCAGATGAGAGAGTCTGCGGTTCTTTTTTGGTTTTTAATAACTCTTTGTAGTTCTTTTTTTTAAGTTGTAACTCCAATTTAGTGATAGGGTTAGGATTTTGCTGGAAGACCTTAAAGCATTCCCTGAGTATAAGTTTTGCCTGAGTGCATTCGTGGTCAAACCATTTTTGTTGGTAGGGAGTCATTTTGGTTAGATCTTCTGGGTCTTGACAATAACGGTTGGAGTTTTCGGATTAATGTGTTATAATGGTCGATTGGGGAGGTCTCTTCAGTGTCGTTGGAAGTCAGATCAGCCCAGAGGAGTTGACCTTCCATTGATTGTGTCCAAATACCAAAATGGTTATTAACATAAGGGGACCATTTAATTCTGGATCTACCTATTTGTTGTAAAGCGCTAGGATCAGGAGTCTGCGGGGCAAGCCCACATCTAGAGGGTTCCCAAAATTCAGTCCTTTTAAGATTTAGGGGTAAATGGTCACTTTCGGTTCTTGTATCTACAGTAAATTCAATATATTCATCGAAAAGTTCTTGGGAGACAAGGATGTAGTCAATAACAGAATGCCTTAGGCCTGACCAGTAAGTAAATTGGCCAGGGCAGTCCCCGAGGAGAGGCCGTTTAAAATAACAAGGTTTAATCTAAGTGCCATTAAAAAAAGGCATGTACCAGCAAAATTGGTGACTGGGTCAAGTGAGTGACGCCTGAATAGGGGCCAATATTCATCATTAGCATTTAGGGGACCCATTCCACTTTCCTTGATTAATTGTTCGTCTGAGTGGCCTAGCCTTGCATTAAAATCCCCACCAATAATTAAGGAGGCAGAGGGAAACTTATTTGAGACAAGGAGAATGCAGTCTTCCAGTTCGTTCCAGATGTTTTTAAGATCAGTTTGTTTCATAAGTGGGTGAATATAGACATTGATGCATATAATCTTAAAATGGGTGGAGAATATTTTAACGGCCAAAATCCATTTTTATCGATTTTCAATTGGATAGGGAGGCTCCTAGATCTGTCGATACGAAGGTGCTCAAACCTCCCGCCGGTCTTCCGCCTTTTGGGCCGATTGTGGCAGGGGAATGGAAAGCAAAGTAATTGTGTAGTTCGAAAGGATTTTGCATCCAGGTTTCTTGGAGCAGGATGATCTTGAACTGTGATACGTAGGTTAAAACGTCTTTGTCCCTTGTTTTCGATTGCCATCCAGCAACGTTCCAGGATAGTAGTAGGGGTGAGAGTCATTTTGTCTCTTCAATAGCATCTAGGGTTTTCCCGGGGTCGTGGAAGATGCAACCATTGGATGGTTGAGTCTCCGGTAATGTGATTAGGGCGCCACAGAGATTTCGGCGTGGATTTCAGATGGGCAGAGTAGAGGTGTGTGTTCTGCCGTGACCTGAGGAGATTCATGACCCATTTTTCGCTCCAAGTTAGGTGGAATATTTGCCTCTTTTATGGGCGCTAGATCTTCAAAGTTGCGGAGATAGAGTAATAACTCATCTAGTCTGTCCGTTATCTCTGTTTGTTCGGCTTTTGGCAGATGGGAGAAGGAGACAAGTAATTCCTGCTCCATCGAATTCTCAAGATGAGTAGCCTTTGATAGGAGGGGCATGGGGGTCTCTGTCCAACTAATTAAGTCTGAGGGTGGAGAGGTAGAGCTCGTAGTAGATGGAATGCCCTCATTTTTAATTGCTTTCCTTTTAACTGGAGAGTAGGGAATAAGAGGGCAAATCTTAGTGTTGATAAAAACTCTTGTGATAAAAATTCTATAGTTAGTCAGGTAGCTTCGTAAGGACATCATATAAGTTGGAAGCTTTTTGGAATCAAAGGTGAGCAGTATCCTCTGCATGTGTGGCTTGCTGTAAATGTGGACAGCGGATTTCAGATCGATGGAAAGAGGATCTACGCCCAGAAGCTCAGCCAAATGCCTTCTTGCGACATGTGTAGACGACCAGTTAACAACCTGACCTTTGAAGGGAAGGATAATTAAACAGAGTCTAGTGGCTTGTAACGAAAGATTATAGGAAGATATGGTGTGTGAATCTTCCATAGATTGTTCGTTTTCAGATTTGCAGCCAGTCTGCGGGGTTAAATGTAATAGGGCAGGTACTCTGGGCGTTGGTTCAGCCCTATCCTCCGGTGAAACGTCTACAGGGCTGACATTAACTTTTGGGGATACAAAGGATGTGATATTCTCTAAGGAGCCTTTGATGTCTCTTATATATTTAAAGATACAGTCCACGGTTTTAGCCACTAGGTCTAACGTGGTAGAGTGTTCAAGCAATAATTCAGAGAGATAGTTTGCTTGTTCTCCGATGCAGTCTTCCGCCTGAATGGGCATAGTGGGAGCGTGTTTGGGGCCTTTTGGTCTCGTGGTGGAGTTGTTTAAGGAGTTAATGGGTTGTTTAGTGGGTGGTTCCTTCGGTGTAATTTCCTTATCTATTATCTCTGCTAATGGCGAGAAACTGTTCGAGGTCGGAATATTAAAAGATCCAAATACTGTGAGAATTGGAAACCCAGCAGCTGATTCCTAGGGGTGGGAAGTGCTTCATGTGATTCTAGCAGGGTAGCTGGATGTGGGAGTCATAAAGCCACGGCAAAGGCTTGTAATATTGCAGGGTGCCCCCTGACCTCGGCTGACCAGCACTCTGAGCTTTACAATGTATTGGAATGTATTGGAGTTGTATTTCCTCTGGGCAGTGATGACCTTATATGGTTTGTGGGGGCAATAAAAGCCTTGACCGGATGAGGTAACGTGAGACACTGGCAAACAGCCATGCGGCTGGAGAGAGACAAAGGATATAAAGAAGCTGGCAGGAGGAGAGGGAAGGTTCGAAGGGAGCTGCTCCTACCATCATGAAAATATTGCTGGCTCACTGTGTCTTTATTTTATGCTAAACTTCGCCATTTGTAACGGCTGGCTCCGACAGCTGGAGGAGCCATAAACTTGGAATTTTTGGAAAAGAGGTAAAAACGAACTCCACTGTATGTACAATTGCACACACCACATATGTAGCTAGTAGGAGAATTCAACATAGTTTTAACAAACAACTTAGAAGCATTCAAGAATAGTAGCTATTTCTACACCCCACATGGGCCCCACTAATTTTGACTCATACCAACTGATTTCTTTGTTAAATCTAAACTATAACATCTTTATGGCCATTCTGGTCAATGGATTAAAAACGTTTATTGGCAGCTATATATACCTAGAACAAACTGATTTTGTTCCAGGGCAAAGAATGACTGATCCAATAAGAAAATCATCAAACATTCTTCATTTTAGTAAAAAAGCAAAAGCAAATCAAAAACAAAACTGAAATATACTCGGAGTCCTGTAGTGATTTCATGCTTTTTATTGCAGCTTGTAAAACAGTGATTGAATTGCTCCCCAAATCTCAGGGTTTAATATACATTATTTACACAATGAGTCCTGATTCTGCTTCCCTCCTGGAGCCTGATTGATCTTTTCCTGCAGGCCAATCAGTTGTTGCATTCTAGGATCCTACTTGCCTATTTTTCTAGGATCCAAGCTTAGTACATAACAAAAACACTTTAGCAAGTCTCTCCCTTGGGATTTTTTAAAGCACTTAATTGTGTAGAACCAAATTATTTAGTGGAAGTAGTTAAGAAATTTGAATTTGGCTCCAAATTATTATAAATTCTGAAAGGCATATATGATAGAGATTCATATATCCTTCTGTATACAAAGTAAATTACATGTGGTTACCACTACCTGCCTGCTCCATATGTGAAAATTCACTTATCCAAACATAAGGAATTATGCCCAAACCTTGCTATGCACTATGCAGATTCAGCTATCTAAACAGGTAAATTTTTCCCAGTTCCTTACTTCTTTGTTCTTTGCTATCTGGTAGCAGTCATTTCAGGAAGAAACCTTGGGGAGAATGGAGAGGGATTGGACAAATCCCTGATTAGAAAAGTTCCCAAAGGAAATAATGAAAACTGTCAACTTGTTATATGCAAACACTCACCTAACAAATGATTTCGAGGGAATGCATTGTGGGACCTGTATGTATTTCTGTTACATAGTTCTGTAGAACTATGCCACAAGCAACACATGAGGATGACTCATTCCCAGTAAATTTTGCTTTTGACCAAAATGAATTATTTGAGTATATTTCCATAGGAGAGTGCTAATACATTCTGTCTGGTGGTGTTTGCGTTTTCTTTTTAGTGAATCTCAAATTGCAATGAAACCAACCATCCTCCTCTCCTTGTTACTGATTGTCCTTCAAGTCCACAATGGTTATGGAGGTAAAGATTCAGTTCAAGAAAGGCTTGTTTCCAGCATTGATGGCTTTGCCCTTAAATTCTTCAGACGAATAGCTTCACTCCAGGGTGGCAAAAATATCTTCTTCTCCCCTATGAGTATCTCCATGGCATTTTCAATGATCGGCATGGGTGCTAAACAAAACACCGAAAAGCAAATTTACAAAGGACTTGGATTGGAGAAAATTGACACAAGCATGATACATAAAGGATTTCAAGAGTTCCTCAAGGTGCTGACCAGTTCAAATCATCAAGGCATGGTGAACATGGGGAACGGCTTGTACCTAGCTAAGGGCATCAAAATAGCCACTAGGTACAATAAGGATCTCCAAAGTTTCTACAAATCTGAGATCTTTGCTGTTAACTTCAAAGACAATGTAGTGGCTGAAAAGCAGATAAATAATTTTGTGAAGGCCAACACTAAAGGAAAAATACGCGAAGTAGTAAGAGGCTTAGATCCAAACACCGTGATGGTTCTTGTGAACTATATCTACTTCAAAGGTATGTTGAAGAAAGATAAGTAATCAATATTTAAGGCTATGAATTGTTCCGTTATTATCATTATCATTATCATTATCATTATCATTATTCCCCACCCATCTGGCTGGGTTGCAAGGAGTATACCTTCAAAACAAAGGAAGCTTTGCTAACTAAAGCACATAACTTTGTCATCATTGCCTGCCAAGTTACCAGTTGCTAAGGGGTGGCTTGAAAACTGTTGAACGTCCCAAAATATGTAGCATTCAATGCAGCATTAGAAAAGGACAAGGGATGAGGCTGAGATGGCTAACCTGCAGGCTTCCAAATGTTTTTGGGCTACATCTTCCACCATCCCTAACCATTGGGCACACTGGCTGACACTGATGGTGGTGAACTCGAGCAACATCCAGAGGGCACCAAGGTCCCTGCCCCTGGATTTTTATCTACCAGACAGGAAGCAGCTCCCCTTGACTCAGTCCACGTTTGGGCCCATGAGACCCCACTATTCCCATTTCTTCTCTCCCTTGCTATCTTCTGAAACAGGGGTCAGCAAACTTTTTCAGCAGGAGGCCGGTCCACTGTTCCTCAGACCTTGTGGGGGGCTGGACTATATTTTGAAGGGGGGGGAATGAACAAATTCCTATGCCCCACAAATAATCCAGAGATGCATTTTAAATAAAAGCACACATTCTACTCATGTAAAAACACCAGGCAGGCCCCACAAATGACCCAGAGATGCATTTTAAATAAAAAGAAACATTCTACTCATGTAAAAACTACGCTGACCATCTGCGGGCTGGATTTAGAAGGCGATTGGGCATGTTCTGAAACACCAATAGCATGTTGACTTACCCTTGGCAATCTTTCTCCTTTGTCTGCACTCTCCTGATTCAACACACTGCTTTCATACACATGGCTGAAGGTTAATTCTCAAATAGGCAACTAACTCTTCCTTTTTTCTAAGATGAGTGGGAAAATCCATTCGTTCCTAAAAATACTGGAAAAGGAGATTTTTTTGTTGATGCCAAGACAACTGTGAAAGTCAACATGATGAAGAAAACTGACTATTTTAGACATGTACGTGATGAAAGTCTTTCCTGCTGGGTCATTGAACTTCCTTACAAAGGAGGTGCTGTTGCCTGGTTCATTCTGCCTGACAAAGGCAAACTGGAGAAAGTTGAGGATGGTTTGAAAGGGGAAACTTTGTCCAAATGGAGAAAATCTTTAGAAACAGGGTAAGCCTTTTCTCTGCTGTTTCTATATGTCCCTGTAGTAATTAGTATTTATTAATGCATGGAATAAAGGCATCTGTTTTTAAATCAAGGAGGACATATGTGCAAAGGACTCTGCCAACACACCAACAGAAGAGCCAATAAACTAACTGTGGTGAAAACAATTATGTTTATTTAATATGACCCTTTAGGGGACCTGCAAAACAAATTATACTTAGCCTAAGCAAAATGTGGTGTATGAAGACAAGTTCCCTAAAATCGTGTCACTCCTGACAGCAGGGCATCTTTACAGGTGATACTCAGTGATGCAGATAAAATAATTGGAAGGGATACTTCCTTCTTTCTCTAAGTTTCCTGGTGAGCTTGACAAGTGCAGAGTAGCCCTACTGGACCTGCCCCCCTTGCCCCCAAATGTGCATGCCAAGCCTAAAGTTCATTTCCAGTGACCCAGTACAAGTCTGAATAAGGTGACCAAAGGTTGCCCTTAACCCAATACTGCCTCAGTTATTTACTCCCTGCCATCTCCTCACTTTCCTTTCCAGCCCAGACTAACAGCCAATTAAAGCAATCAAGCATTGCCACTACAAACAAATGACTCCCAGTAGTATGAAAGAGGCCAAAAAAAGAGAGAGGTTTCTTGGGGCCAGTTAGGGGCTATTGTGGGAATGATAAGGACCCTCCCTCTAGTGGTAGGATTTGCCTACCTAATGTTTCAAGATGCTGTAGGAGTCATGAACTCTCATCGCCATCCTATTTTCCTTCACTGGGCCAGCAGGAAAAGACGCTTGTAAGATTCTCTTACCTGCAATGAAGCTTAGAACTTTGTGCTCTGCTCTCCAAGTACAAGATTTATTTGGTTAGCAGTATATGCTCACCGTATTCCTGTAGGATTTAGTAAGCTATTCTCCTCCCACTCTTGACAGCAGCAAAGAAACACAGAACACAATCAGAACTGATATACTCAGTGGTGTTGCATGTTTTGTTTGCATGCATGTGGGACCAGGGGCTGGGTGTGAAACCCAGCACACCAGCCCAACCCTTGCTGCTGCCACCACTGAGTGGGTGTGGGGTGTGGAGGGTTCATGGGGCCACGTTGCACCACTTGCCCACTCGCTCACACAGGGCCAGGCCGCCCCCCCAATGCTGCCATTCAGTGAGAAGACTTGCAGCACGGCAGCAAGACCCCCCAGTGTCAGGCAGGGTAGAGGTGCCTGCAAGCTGACACCTGGTTCACGCCCCTGCCAAATCATGCACCTGGGGCTTCAGTCCCTGGCCCTCCCCACACGACGCCTCTGGATACACCCGAAAACAAACTGCAAAATGCTTCCCTTTAAGTACCGGTATATGTAGACCTGAAGCCATAAATGTTGCATATTTCTAAACAAAGTTTCTTATCGCCTATCTTTTAACGTTTTGATTCTTGTTCAGAACGCAATTTTATTTGGCCATCCCCAAATTATCAATGGCTACATCCTACGATCTCAAAGATTTGTTGCCTGGGCTGGGCATTTCCGAAGTCTTTACTCCCAACGCTGACCTGACTGGAATTACTGGAGGTGGCAAGGTGAAGATTGACAAAGTACGTATATAAATGTGGTCAGTTTGGGTATTTCATGGTATGTGATTGGACTTTTTACAAGATTAAGTAGGTGATGGAAGGCACTCCATACCACTGAGGCCACCTGAGCCTCAAGTGACAGCAATGGATCCAGAAATGCCCCCAAACTGCATACCCACTCCTTCAAAGGGGGTGTTACCCCATCAAGAGCAGGCAATCTCCCATCCATCCAATCTAGGGGACCACTCACTAGGCTCTGGAGACAAGGATGGAACTACAGTGCCCCAACCCCAAACTCCTTGAAATGCCTCAGAAGGATACTGTGGTCAACAGTATCAAAAGCTGCCAAGAGATCAAGGAGACTGAGCAGTGTCACATTCCCCATCCCATCTCTCTCTTGATAAATATCAACAACAAGGGCAACCAAATCAGTTTCAGTGCCATGACATGGCCTGAAGCCAGACAGGAATTGCTCCAAGTAATTAGCTTCCTCCAAGGATGCCTGAAACTTGACCACCACCATCTCTAAAGTACTTGTCCAAAAGGGGGATCTTCTTCTTCTTTGGTGATCACTCGTAGCCGAGTAAGATTGTCTCCCAAGAACATGGTATTAACGGTGAGTCCATATGTGACTGTGGAGGCCAGTTCTGGATCCGCATATACAGGTGGAGACATAGGTTTCTGGGTGGGAGTTGATCACGGTGATCAACTTAGCACAAGATCAACTCTTAGCATGTTTCTCCCTTGCATCCTGAGTTTGAGTGTCTTCAAAGCCCATGACACCTTTGGTAAAGGCTGTTCTCCAATTGGAGCGTTCATAGGCCAGTGTTTCCCAATTGTCGGTGTTTATACTGCATTTTTTTTAGATTTGCCTTGAGAGAGTCTTTAAATCTATTTTGTTGACCATCAGCTTTACGCTTTCCATTTTCAAGTTCGGAATAGAGTAGAAAGGAGATATTTGCCACTGACCAATAGTGGTTTAACACTTCTGGGTGCAGGGAGATTGTCTTAAGGAAAGAGTGTACTATCCCTTCCTTCAAGGCAGATGGTACCTTTTCTCCTTCCAATGAAGCATTAATCATTCCTGGTACCCACCCAGATGGGATGCGGGTGGCGCTGTGGGTTAAACCACAGAGCCTAGAGCTTGCCGATCAGGTCGGCGGTTCGAATCCCCGCGACTGGGTGAGCTCCCGTTGCTCGGTCCCAGCTCCTGCCAACCTAGCAGTTTGAAAGCATGAAGTGCAAGTAGATAAATAGGTACCACTCTGGCAGGAAGGTAAGCGACGTTTCTGTGCGCTGCTCTGGTCATGTGGCCCCATGTATGCTGTATGCCAGCTCCCTTGGCCAATAAAGCGAGATGAGCGCCGCAACCCCAGAGTCGTCTGCGACTGGACCTAATGGTCAGGGGTCCCTTTACCCACTGAGACGAACATCTGGGCCACTTCAAATAAAGTGGAAAATTTGTTATATCCTGCCTTTATTCCATTGAGCGCAATGTGTCACTCATGTCTCTCCACCACAAACCTACATCAGGTCGCTTTAGCTCTGCATTGTATTCCTATATCCAACACACATACATCCCGTACCCATGGGGAAGAACAGTGATTGGGGAAGTACTGGGAGACCATCCTTTGAATGAGGATAGGGGGAGTATACATGTGTCTTCCGTTTCATCTGTGATGTGTTGGAGGCTGTGATGGTTTCCAGTAAAATACCTATTTTCCCTCCTGTGCAGGCTTCTCACAAGGCTGTTCTGGATATAAATGAAAGTGGCACCGAGGCAGCCGCCGCCACCTTTATGAGCTTTGGGGTTGGAGCTGCTCCTGGGCCCCCTCCCGTTCATTTGGTCTTTGACAGGCCATACTTTTTTTTCTTAATGGCATCAGTTGATGGGCCCATGCTTTTCATGGGGAAAACAGTAAACCCAGCTCATCCATGAACATAAGGGGACCATTCCGAGGCTTCCAATGGCCAGCTTTCTTAGTGACAAAAGAGCCCCCCCCCCTTTGTTCTACAGACGCTGTGGAATCAGCCCAATATCAAAACCAGCAGTTGATTTTTAGGATGATTATGCCACTGACTACAAACTAAATGTAAAATAAAGTTGATTGTAAAACACTGGTTCTTGGAAGTAGGTGAAATTCATGTGCCTCATTTCAAATGTGTAACATGTTTCCTGCCCCGAAAAAGAACTTAGCAGAGTGCTAAATCCTACGCAAATGTCAACATGTTAAAAATGAAGGCTTTTAGATAAAGAGGGGAATGGCCCGAATGGCTCTGTTTTGGAACGTTTCGGCTCCTGAACACCGAAAATCTGGAAGTAAATGCTCAGGTTTTCAAACGTTTTCCGGAAGCTGAATGTCTGATGTGGCTTCCGCTTGAATGAAGGACCAACCAACCAATCGGAAGCCACGCTTCGGTTGTCAAATGTTATGGAAGCTGAACGGGCTTCTGGAACAAATTACGTTGGACAACCAAAGTTTGACTGTAATGACATTCAAAGTACTGGCTGTGGTACTGACATAAAACATCCTAGCCAGCAGCTGGAAACTGTAGCAAAAACTTTATTCCAGCTGTTCCCCTTTATACTCTTGAAATTTCCACATACTGTAGAGACTTCACTGTGCCTGTTTTAACACTTCACCATCTCCCTTACTGGAAGGGAGACACTCACAATCTTTTCTTAGAACCAACCTGTCTGCTTTTGTCAATTGGGCATTAAAGCAGTTGAGCCCATAATACTGTACAGCTCATATTACAAACCTCAATCCTGGCATTACCTGTACATGGGGCATCATTCCCCGGAGATGTGGAGCCTGGATAACAGGGGTGGAGGCAGAGTTAAACTCCTCCCGGTAGATTCGCAGGAGGTCTTGTGGGGTGCTACCTTTCATAAGGATCCCGTGAGATCCATCAAGGGCCTGGGCTGGGTCTTAAAAGGTTGACCGTGAGGGCTCAAATACCAGGAACAAAACTTTGAGGTCGTGGTGGATTGTTCCATGCAGATTTAAAATATCCTCGGAGTCCTGTAGTGATTTCATGCTCTTTATTGCAGCTTGTAAAACAGTGATGAATTGCCCCCCAAACCTCAGGTTTTTATATACATTATTTACACAATGAGTCCCGTTTGATTGGCCGATTCTGCTTCCCTCCTGGAGCCTGATTGGTCTTTTCCTGCAAGCCAATCAGTTGTTGCATTCTAGGATCCTACTTGCAAGCCAATCAGTTGTTGCATTCTAGGATCCTATTGTGTGACTGCTGTGGAAAAGGGAAATTCCATGTATGCTTTAGGATTCCTACACAGCTTGTGACAGACATTGGTTCTCAGTTTACAGCTGCAGATTTTGAGCAGTTCCAGAGTATGACTTTGAACACATTACTTCCAGCCCACAATATCCACACTATCCTAAACTAGGGACTACAGGCTATAGCCCAGCAAAACTCTTGATGAGCACACAACTTAGGACAACTGTTTCTGCCTTGAAATTAAATTCGCACCGACATGGCTTAATATAAGGAAAGTTGCAAGAGTGGGACAGAAAGACTAAAGAATCCTACATATACTTTTATAATAATCACTATTCTGCTAGTGCACTATCTGACTTCAATCCAGGAGACCCTGTTCGGGCTAAATTGGACAATGAAAAAAGATGGAAGACTCAAACCAATGTGAAGAAGTACTTGTCACCCAGTTCCTATGCCATCAAGACCAATTGAGGAGAATTCATTAGAAATCATGGATATCTACAGTTAATGCCAAAGACTACACAAAGAGAAGAAGAGATCCCCTGTTACCCTTAGACCAGGGTCTCAAGCTGTTGTTGGACTACAACTCCCATCATTCCTAGCTAGCAGGACCAATGGTCAGAGATCATGGAAGTTGTAGTCCAACAACAGCTGGAGACACAAGTTTGGGAAACCCTGTGTTAGGCTCAGCATCAGGAGATCTACCTGTTGAAACACAGAGGGATAGATAAACAAACAAACAAACAAACTATTCAAACAGTCAAATGTTTTACTCATTAATTCATTCTGAGGTCTATCAATAACCAGCCATATGATTTATTTCTATTGTAGAATTTATATAGTACAGCCTGCAAGTAATTGGAGGGAGAAGATGTAATGTAGAATTAACTAAAATAATTCCTTCCAGTAGCACCTTAGAGACCAACTAAGTTTGTTATTGGTATGAGCTTTCGTGTGCATGCATCTGAAGAAGTGTGCCCATTCATCTGTTAAACTAAAAGTGATCTGCTATCTGATTGGATTTATTTTGCAGTCAAGAGATTAAGCTGGACAGTTAACTAAGTGATTGACATATTGTTGTTGTTTAGTCGTTTAGTTGTGTCCGACTCTTCGTGACCCCATGGACCAGAGCACGCCAGGCACTTCTGTCTTCCACTGCCTCCCGCAGTTTAGTCAAACTCATGCTGGTAGCTTCGAGAACACTGTCCAACCATCTCGTCCTCTGTCATCCCCTTCTCTTTGTGCCCTCCATCTTTCCCAACATCAGGGTCTTTTCCAGGGAGTCTTCTCTTCTCATGAGGTGGCCTAAGTATTGGAGCCTCAGCTTCAGGATCTGTCCTTCCAGTGAGCACTCAGGGCTGATTTCCTTAAGAATGGAGAGGTTTGATCTTCTTGCAGTCCATGGGACTCTCAAGAGTCTCCTCCAGCACCATAGTTCAAAAGCATCAATTCTTCGGCGATTAGCCTTCTTTATGGTCCAGCTCTCACTTCCATACATCACTACTGGGAAAACCATGGCTTTAACTATATGGACCTTTGTTGGCAAGGTGATGTCTCTGCTTTTTAAGATGCTGTCTAGGTTTGTCATTGCTTTTCTCCCAAGAAGCAGGCGTCTTTTAATTTCGTGGCTGCTGTCACCATCTGCAGTGATCATGGAGCCCAAGAAAGTAAAATCTCTCACTGCCTCCATTTCTTCCACCTCTATTTGCCAGGAGGTGATGGGACCAGTGGCTATGATCTTTGTTTTTTTGATGTTGAGTTTCAGACCATATTTTTGACATATTGACATATTACTGGAATGTAATTCACAGCGTTTGGTAAAAGGAAGTACAGATTTGAAATAGAGACATGTTTGGTAAGAGAACAAGAAGAACATAGGTTTAAAGAAGATTGGAAAATGTTTATTGACTATATGGGGGGGGATTGTGTACACTTGAAAACGATGGCAGCATTAAGAGAAATTCAACAGTGTAAATAAGTTGTGATGGATGTAATAATGGAATAATGAATGGTTTAATTTATGTAAAATATGCAGGGATTTATGTTGTGCAAAACAAACCATGGAAAGAGAAGAAGGGAAGTCATTGATATTTTAAGGTTGTTGAAATGAATATTCTAAATTGTAAAAAATAAAATTTCATAAAAATTATATTAAAAATGAAATAGAGACACATTTTAAAATTATCTTTATTGTACATGCAGTTTGCTGTCGGTGTCATAGTCATCCTTAAAAACAACTACTGGTTATGCTGCTTTTTTCTGTCAAAGAAAGGGGGAAAGTCCTCTTTCATCACTAAGATGGCTGGTAATTGGAAGCTTCTGAATGGTCCACCTAATGTTCATTTTTGAGCAGGGTTCACAACTTTCCCCAAGAAAAGCATGGGTCCATCATTTGGTGCCATTATGGTGAGAAAGAATGGCTTGTCAAATATGAGTTCAATAGGAAAGGAGAGGCATGCAGATTTGGGACCAATCTCTACAGCGGTCACTGCTGCTGCCTCACTACCTTCTTCATGTATATCCAGAACAGCCTCGTGAAGGAAGGAAGATATATTCATTTTTGGAAGCCATCACAGCCTCCAACATATCACAAATGAAACGTGAAACACATTTATAGTCCTCCTATCCTCATTCCAAAAATCATTTCCCAGTGCTTCCCCCACCATCAAAACACACACAAGGAAAAAACCACAACCACACAAAAACACACAAAGAAAACAACCCCACAAATAAAAATGCACACAAGCACACATCGATTGGGTCTAAGGTTTAAATGCTTCCAGTCAGCCGCCAGCGTGTTGTGTTATGTTACATATTTTCATGTTATAAGCCACCCTGTGATCCTCTGGTGATGGGCAGTATATTTATTAAATGAATGAATGAACGAATGAATGAATGAGCCACTGTCGTGCGTGCAGTCTCTTCCCACTCCCCCTCTTTCAGCCAACTGCATGTCTCCCACTTGTTTCTTCTTCTGCTAATAAACACAACAAACTTTGTTGTTGTTGTTTAGTCGTTTAGTCGTGTCCGACTCTTCGTGACCCCATGGACCAGAGCACGCCAGGCACTTCTGTCTTCCGCTGCCTCCCGCAGTTTGGTCAGACTCATGTTTGTAGCTTCGAGAACACTGTCCAATCATCTCATCCTCTGTCGTCCCCTTCTTCTTGTGCCCTCAATCTTTCCCAACATCAGGGTCTTTTCCAGGGAGTCTTCTCTTCTCATGAGGTGGCCAAAGTATTGGAGCCTCAGCTTCAGGATCTGTCCTTCCAGTGAGCACTCAGGGCTGATTTCCTTAGGAATGGAGAGGTTTGATCTTCTTGCAGTCCATGGGACTCTCAAGAGTCTCCTCCAGCACCATAGTTCAAAAGCATCAATTCTTCGGCGATTAGCCTTCTTTATGGTCCAGCTCTCACTTCCATACATCACTACTGGGAAAACCATTGCTTTAACTATACGGACCTTTGTTGGCAAGGTTTGCCAACAACAAACTTAGGTACATTAATTTCAGTGGGTTTACTCAGAGTATGGGATTGATAGAAACAATGACCAGGAAGTGCATGGATAGGTGCCAAGTGTGTTCAAATTTATAAACCTATTCTTTATTTCTTTCCTGTTGTTCCATATTATTCTAAAGTGGTGTTTCAAGCTGCGGTGCTAAATTCAGTTTACCTTGGCATGTTATCTATGCTTTTA